TCCTGTCTATTACATTCAATTGGAAACCTTTTAACATACTAGCCACTGCTAGAGATGTTCATTGCCTCCCAACGTCATCTGCAGGACATCTGCGCCTTCCGATGAGACGGTGAACAGGCGGTTCGGGGCCTGTGTGTCGCGACGCACAAATAGATCACTAGTAGGCAAGACTTATATATTCCTACTGTATGCATATTTGACTCCATTGTTCTACAGAAAGCGCATTCCCAAGCGTTTCGAAATAGCAAGTGCATATGCGCCACTTCCTGTGGAAAGAGGCAGCACCGTGAATGGTCAGTACGCATCTATACTCACTTCACTTTGCATTTATTTCCCAGGCAACAAGGCACTCGCACTACACAGAAAGTACGCCCACCTAAACCCAAGCCCTACTACATCCAATGCTCGCCTCGAGTCACAGACACCAGAAGCTCCTCCAACCCCAAAGCATGCAAAACGAAGCCGGACCTCTGCCCAGCCCAAAGGTTTCCTCATTCGATAACCGCATTGTTGCAACAGTTTGGCGGTAACATGGCAGGCAACTGGGGAGTGCATCATTTCACTACACTCACCAAGCGCCCCACCTACTGAGACGAGTCAAGTCCTAGCTTAGTTGTGAATACCAAGTCCAAACAAATATTAACAAATATTACGCTTTGTTCAAACTATCAACCTCAGTCCCTACTCTAGACTCTACACAGTGCAACGGTACGTCGAAACGAGCTCAAACCCAATTCCTTCAACGTGCACAACGCGTTTCTTCGCCCGAGCACTTAGAGCCTGTCGCCAACAGTTGAGGATAGGGTGTTGGAAGTTCAAACGAAGGATTTAGGAGTGCAGTTGTTACAATTCGTTGCGATATATGTTTAGTATTCCACTGCATTTCGTCTTTTTTAAAAAAAATAGCACCACCAGCTCGCATCTTAAAAGGCCGGTGGGGTGATTTGGTCGGGTCCAATGGGCCGGCCCAAGGGTGCCTCATCTCCGGGGCCCTCCTGGGAACACGTAGAAAATAATCAAAACGCCGAGGGCAAACCATAGCGTGTCCAATAATTAGCAACGGTAGCAACCGTAACCAAGAACAAAACAAAACAAATAAGGGCATGCGAAATGCGAGAACTGCACGCCAAAGAATTGGTAACAACAAATAGGTCAGTAATACGAAACGGACAGCAACAAATAGACAGCCATAAATCAGTAAACGCGTCGGGAGGGCAGAGGACGGAGGGAAAACAAAAAAAAAACATGAGTGGCAGCGGCCGGCGTTTGCAAATGGCGTGTCCTCATGTTCAAGTGATCAGCATAGAATGATGACTTACCGATACGCTTATCCCGTGTTGTTGCAGCTCTTGTCGCATACCAAAGTGTACGAGAATGCATACAACACCCATGCTGGCTGTGTATATGCCTGCAACGCAGAAGGTCCAAATACGTGCGTCACCGACGCCAATTGATGAGTTCAAAAGGAGAGTGGCCAAGATGCATCCAGCAGGGCAAAGGCGAACAAAACAGCAGCTAGGGGTGGCTACCCACCGACAAGGGCTAGGACGAAAGAGCTTCTCCACAAGGACAGAGACAACGATCCTAAAGTCACTCAACACAACGCCCGCAAAACCTCACAGCTGAGGGCGTTTCGGTTTTTGGCAATCAGCACAGGAATAAATCGCAACAAAGGAAGGGTGACTCTTCCTTGGCTCGACAAAATGGCTCACACTTGTAGTAACAAACCCAGGAACAATATAGTATGAAGTACAACTTAACATATGCGCCGCTGGTCTAACGATGGAAAGACGTACGCTACGCAACAAAAGACCAGGAGCCATGCACCGTTCGCCATATGATTCAACAAGTGGCACACAGGGCAACGAAACCTAACCGTAAAAAATATAAAAGCAGCCCTTCCCTCCTGGAACAGTAAGGAATCGGAACCAGGAAAAGAAGCAGGGCCTCATCCTTTCCAAAGGCGGAATGTCTTTGGCCTCAACGGCCATCGTCAGCATCCCGAACAAACTGCAGTCGCAATAGAACAGATCCAAATCGCGCAATATAGCATGGCGTCAGCCCTGTTGCTGAGTTCAAGAATTTCTAAGGCGTTAGCAGGCCTGCGCTTTGTCACTTGCATACACGGTTACTGTTGACAAAATAACCGCCGCTATTCTTAGTACCAAAATACAGGACAATTCTCGGATGCAAAAATCAGGTTGTATGCAGGGATCCCGTTACAGCATAGGGCACTACCGAGAAGTACAGCTAAGCAGAACTTATAGTGTTGCTTACATCAGGTACAGCTGCAGGATGTAGTTCGAGGGCTCCGAAAGAAACGAGAAAATGTTAATGCAGGCTAGGCCAGAGGTTAGGACTGTCATGAGGCCCCCTACAAATGAATTCCACGCAACCCATGGACACTAAAAACAGCGCATAATTGTGCATTATGTACTACTTAGTACAATATGTCGTTGCGGAGCAGAACAACAGGACTGTGCTCCACGTTATGGTTCGGGAGTTATGTTTCTCTGGTTTGTAACGCCTGCAAATCAAGTGTAGCAGAGGTCGTATGTGTGTATCTTACCAACAAAACAAAGGAAACGCAAAGGCTTGGGTCCCTCCCCTAGGAATTCTGTCGCCTGCTGCAGCACTTTGCTGCCCCCACTCAGCAGTACTTCCTGAAAGCGGCCTGTGGCCCCGCCTGAGCCCCAAGCCACCTCCTCCCCTATGTAACGCAACGCAGGCATGCAGGTCTGGTGATAATGTTACAAAATGCGGTCTCTACTGCCAATGCAACACATGCAACACAGATAATGAAAAATCGTGTCTGGGTGTGGAGGGTGGAGATGTTGCTGACCTGCTCTTGCTAACACGCTCACGCGGTTTGTTAACTGCACCCAATAGGATCACCGTCACAGGTTAGTACAACTCACCCATGATGAAATGTAAAAAGATTAGGAGAACCGCAGCGCGCGTGCCCTGTCTTCTCTTCAGCGGCCGCTGGTCACACCAACAGCGGCACCAGCAGTGCTCATATGCGGGAAGCAATGCTTTTGCAACGTCGCTCGAATTTACAAAGTTCAACTAGAAAGCCCTTTAAATAGTTTTAATTCTTTAAACATAGTTTCTGCACGCAACGGAAAGTTCTTGACTGGTGGCCTTTGACGAAACAAACCCCAGCGAGGGCCGACGCCGCAACAATGGCTGCAGCCGATCGTACTGCTGAACCCAGGGCATGCTCTACTTTACAAGCATACGTGCCCCGCTTTTAGTTATTTTATTCGCCATAAAGAAAATCATCAGGAGGAGAATATAGGTGTTCTTCCTCACCGATATTCTCTGATTGCATGCGCTCTGGCTGTGGCGTGGTATGTCTGTGGTTGGGAACTATGCTTCTACTTACGTGCGGACGGGCTGCTCAGATCCACGTAAAGTGTTCTACAACTTTCTTCAATTCTGTGGCGTAAATCGAATGAGGCTTGACTACGCTTGTGTGTGGGGTTGCTTTGCAGTGGGAGTTGCGGTAAGATGTGCTCCCGCGAGCCCGCCTCCTCTCCCCAGCAGCCACCAGTGGCAAACCGTCTAGTCGCTGTGCCTAGGGCAGGTGGAGACTAGACGGGATGTCAGCTGCTTTTTTGGTGAGTTTCAATCATAGGTCTTTCCACTCCACTGCAGCTCATGACGCTCCTCAGCCAAGTTCGCGGGCATTACGCATAATAGAGCCTGATGACTGAAAGGGGCAGATGGGAGCAGCGCGTCTCTCCCCGCATCTTGTCTTGTCTCTCTGGTATACAGCTTCAACTATACTACCCCTACAGAGGAAAACAATTCACGTTTTCGTCTTTTCTGCCAAAAATTCAGCCTCTTCCTCCTGGTGAGTAATGGATATTGATGTAGATCTGCTCTCTGACGGGGAGGTGACCACCGGCTAGGAGCCTGGTCGCATTGGAGTGAACGCAGTATCCGCAGCGCATTAGGATGGAAAAGTTTGTATGGCGAAGGTAATTCATGAAAATGCACTCGACATACGACGAGCGCTCGGCGATGCGAGGGGAGTGGAGGAACTCCTGGCTTCTCCAGAACTGGTGTGGGCATCTTTTGTGTTAGATAGGAAGGTGTAACGATGATGGCAATACCTAAGCGAAGGAATTTCTTCGCTGGACCGCGTCTGGAGTATGCACGCTTTCCGACATTTGCTGCAGTGTACGTGTATCCGCTTGGCGAAACAGGCTGCTGCAAAACTAACGAAGTGCAAACAAAGGAACTTGTCGGCAGAGCATTCGAAGAGAAGCATCAGCTCTCGGTGAACATAAGCCCAAGAAAATAATCGGAACCTTCATATACGTGGCTCGTAGGGCTGTCCAGTTGAGAAGGGCAACCCAAAACCGGCTGGGCCTCAATGAGGGAGCTGATGTGTACAGGGATAAAAATAGATGAGATGATAACCAAGAGAAGCAACACCTCTTCTAGTGCCCGAAAGGAGAAGCAAAGAAGAGGATTTGGAAGTGACCTAGATACAGTGCTTGTGGACTGGGGAGTTATGGATAAGAAGTGGAAACAGACGGCATCCGGCGAATCCACAGCTCAGAAAGCCTGGGATATGTGCCAAAATTGTGTTTCTGCGAGTTTCTTACTCCTCATTCACGCAGCAGTGTTTCTCGCCAAGTTCAACAACGAAAGGTGGGTTAACTGGTTAGAGTACCTCGTCGACATTTCCCCGAAGCGGAGACATCACAATACCATTAATTTCGGGTTCCAAAAACTGTCGATGGATTGGGCGAAATATCCTCGATCGCTCCCCACGAAATGGCAGCAACATGCGAAATGACGGAGCAACGGGAAGTGACGGAGACCTTTGACAAGCGCGTAAGGACTGAGGAAATTCACAGAAAGTGAGAATATTGCTCTGAATGTTCAGGAGGCCGACAAGCTGAGTGCATATCTGATTTTCTCTGCTGCATACATATGTCTCTGAAGTATCTGCGTGCTCTCCTCCACACAGCGTATGAGCAGCGCAGAGTTGGGCCGGGGATAACTTCTAGTAGATGCTTGCACGCGTATGGTGACCCTTCTATCTTTATAGATACCTGCTCTTCCGCGCTAGTTAGTCTCCTGCTCCTCTGTGTGGCCCTCCTCAAAGTCGTATACGACAGCGCTTTTATTTTCGTTGCGTTTTGAGACGGGGCCAATTTGTGGGGCTGACGGGACCCCCGTGCCGACTCGCCCATTGGTGTTGGCCGTTGCCGTCGGCTGCATTTCCCAATATATTTTAGTGGTTGCTGTGAAATAAGCGCATAGGTGAGGCTTCCAACCCAGGCTCGGCGCATCGCATTCTATGTTCAGAGGCCACGTCACCGGGCGAGACTACCGCAGCGAGATGGCCGCTGGCAGCAGCAATAAGCAGCATCGATAGGTGCCGGGGTCCTGCCTTCCCTCGTCATTTTTCTTTCCCTTGTCCCTGTTCGCTGGTCCCTCTCTCAAACACCCATTTCTCACTCGGCGCACGCATACCCATTTTGGCACCAAGGCTCAGGAGGGTGCGTGCTGTTTCGGGAGAGGGTGAGCAGATGTAGCATGGTTAGCCTTAAGTATCACGTGGTTCTATCTGCGAGCATACTCGGCGCGGGCGTCCAAGTGAGCCAGCAGCAATAACACCTTCCTACAGTATCAGTGCAGGCATCAGTAGGGGGGCTAGGTGTGCTCGCATCTGGGGCTACCTTGCAGCACTCGTTTCAGCAAGGAATGCTGCAACTTGGGGCAGGTTACTTCTTCCTTACCCCAGCACCAAGCCCCTCTGCGGCGGTGCTCAGGAGGCCTGGACTTGGAAGAGTGGTCAGCTGTTTCTGGAAAATTCTTAACAAATATTTTGGCTCTCTTGCAGTTCACAAGTGCCCTCGGCTGATGCAGAGTACTCGTATATATAATGCAGCTCGTGACGTCTCCATTGTGACTCAAATATGAGCGGGCCATCCTTTAGCCTAAATACCCTCCTTTTTCTGGGGCATAAACACAGTCGGCAGAGCCAGTTTGGAACTCCCTTAGCTGAAATGATGTAGAAGTACTGAAGCTAACGTACTACCCTCCCCTTCTGTATGTATTTGCTCTATAAATTCAGCGGCACAGGTTCCCCGAGCTGTTAGGCAGGACACCCACCAGTTAACAGTTGCGGGACCCTCCGGTGCAGCTGCTCCCGCACTGGCAACACCACATGTAAGCGCCGCCAAGCCCACAGCCTATGCATGCGTAAAATCAGTATTCAGTACTCAAAAAGCTGAGCTACTAATAGCAAGTATGAACTAGCATCAGGCCACGCTACTAAATGAAAATAAGTAAATTGAAAAACAATTCCTCCATGACAGCAAAATTTGGTATTTTGTGACGCCCCAACTGGATACGAAGGAGCCTCACGCACCATCGCGTCTAAAGAAGCTTTCGCGAAGAAAACCGTGCTGCAGGGCTTTCCCTGCTGCAGGGGCAGTGCTCCAGCAGAGTGCTATTCTGAGAGGGCAACCATCCCAAATTCGAGCACTCCAAAAACCGCCGTGTCGAAGGTCCACGCAGGCTCATCCTGTTCCAATATCTAACGGCCTACCGGGTTTGCAACGCTGCGGTACAGCTGCGTTTTCCCCCAAGCAACTCAAAACGCTCGCCGACATGGTGGGGATTAGGCGTGTCAGAGAAGGATCGCCTGCTGTGTGTCTTCGCTGGTGTTGACGGGTGCGATCGTAGTGCTGCGCGTGGCTTGGTGTTTCTGAGATGCGCTTGCCATAGCAAGAGGTAAGTGTTACAGGGTTACTTTGCGCCCTTGAAAGACTTGACTGTTTAGCCCTGTGTCGGTACTGCTGGTGCTCTCCCTCCTGCTGCTGGAAAGTAGGAATCCGTTGCCTTTGGAATGGTCGTTGTAGCGCCTGGGTGGATAAAACTGTGCCGTCTAGCAAGCCGTCTCCTGGAAGCAAAAGGCTCCCGCCGGCGGCAGTTAGTGGCATGCATAATGTTGTGGTTACATTTTTTCTGTGGATATGTTGGCCGGCAGATAAGTGTGAACTGTTCACCTTTTCGGTCATTGACATCTTCTTTCGTATTTTTGTGTCGTGAGACGGGTTTCACGCGCATTCGCGTATCCGTTCTCTTACAGGGCTGCAGGAAAAGGAAAGACTTTGTTGACATGGCTGCCAAAAACTTCAAGCGTTGAAGGGTTTTGTAGCAGATGACATCATTGTATGCTTGAAGCTTGCCTGCGTCTGCTCTCCTTTCACTCCGCAAGGCTTGTAAGGGAGTCTAGCCGTCGGTGCGATTTTTGTATTTGATCGTTTCGTAGCCGAAACGATCCTCCAAAGCGAGTCATAGCTACTTCCGACGTTTTCCTGATCATCCGCGTCAGATGAATCTACGTAGGACTTCGACTCCATCTTATCCAGTTCTTGCTCATGCGCCTCTCCCTGTGTCCGGTAATGCGTTGGAACGTAACCTTCTGGGGCCCTCTGCGTTTTAGTTTCCTGCTTCCTAGTGTCCAATAAATATACACTGGAAGAGAGGTTAGTAGAGCTTCAGGCGGTGGCTGTGTTGTTTGTGCAGTTACCTTCACAATTACGTAGAATGATACCCACCTGCTGGATCCAGCTCGTTTTAGAGCTGTGGGTTTGATGAGAAGACAATCTTACCTTTTTATATGCACAACATTTTTTTCCCAATGCAGTTCTCCCGTGGAGGGCGACTACCTTCTGAGACTCTTCCGCCTGGACTAAACCACGACTTAGTTTCTTGGAAGGCGTTGTGCTGATCCCTTTGGTGGCGGTAAAAGACGGGACGTTAGTGAAAGAGGCACACCTACGAACCATTCCAGGTCCTTGTAGCTCTGAGTACATGTAGTGGTGTCGCCTAGACTGCTGCGTGAGGGCGCGTACCCTCTGGTCTGTGTGCCGAGTGGCGCCGACCATCTCATACAGCTTGACGCGGCTGGTTCTGCATGCATCCGGCACTTCATTGCGGAGCGATTTTCAAGGATATTTCCGTAGGAAATGCCGGGAGTTCACGGGTGTATACTGGGCGCTTTGTCATGGCAGGTCTTCCGGGGATGTAGCCCACAAGGCTGTAGTCGCAGCCCCACTATGCAACCACACTCACGAGTGCAGCTTGTTGCGCAATGTTGACAAGGGACCGACACTCTGCCTCTGGGGTTCCTGTGGCAACCGCGGTAAGGTTCCTGAATTTGACAAGAGCGTTTCAGCATTAGTTGCGTCTTTTTACCCCTGAGAAGTTTAGTTTGACGTGACTCAGGCGAAGTTTGTGTGAAACACCGTCAGCACAGAACCTTCTTCGAACTAAACGTTTTTTGCACGGCCTCCCTATTGAGTCTGCAGGATACCGCCGAAAAGTAGCTCAGAAAATGAATAGGCGCACCTGGGCAGTTCCAGTTACTAATGGGATCGAATGCCTTCGGATTCAGGCGGTTGAGAAGCTCCTGCTGCGCCTTCTGCAGACGCAGCAATTTGTGCTGGGGATCTTCGTCTTCGGGTACTACTTCTCCTACAACTGGCCCTGGCCGGCTTTCGTGCTTCAGATGCAGGAATGATGGTTGCTTGTTGACCTCACTTTCCAGGTGCTTTACCTCCGTCTCTATCTGCTGCGTACATTCTCTGAGATCCAAAGGGGTGCACAAGGTGTAAAAACACTCGGCTGTAGACGCTGGTGGCTTAGGGCAGTTGGCCTGGTACTTTTCCAGCTGAGCAGGACATGCACGAATATATTGTTTTCTTTCCCTGAAGAGCCCATTTTCACTGAAGTTTTCACTCTTCCCCTGAAGGGAACTGGTGGCGGGATTCTTGTTATAAACGAACGCAAATGTAGTTCTTCGCTCCTAGCTACGTAGTCTCACTATCCAGCTCTATTCCCCGTATCTTCATCATAGGCTATCCGGAATAGAAACTCACTTTTTTTTGGAGCTGCTGCGTCACTGGGTGGGCGTCGATTGCAGGGAACCTGAGGTCATCCGTTTCCATGTGCCAGCCGATAGCCGTTTAGGAACTGTGAGAGACTTCTTGCAGTGCAGAAGGGCGTTCCACTCGTGGCCTACCTGGAAAAATATCCCTGTGGGTCGAAGAGTTGAGCAAAGAGGGCGTTAATACGATCTGCTAGCTCGAGTTGAAGTGCCTTTTGTCCTAGCAGCTTTGGCAGGTGCTCCCTCAGAGCCCAAGCCACAGCCTCCTTTACGGCCAGCACCGAAAGAGGACAAATGAGGGAAATTCCAATTGACCCAAAGGAGTTCTGCAGGGACGCAGAGTCGCAACACACACTATCGAACTTCGAGTTCCGCAGGGTTGTAGTTTTAGTGGTTCAGCAGCTTTACTGGCCCGTACAGTCATATGCTAAAAGCACACTTTGATTTTCTCCATGACTTCTTGGTAGGCGGCCTCGGCAGCGGCCAGCACCTTCAGCCTTTTTCTGCATGTATTGAGGGGAACGAGGAGCTCTTCACAGCTTTCTAGTGCGGGCGCTTCTCCTATCGGCTCCGCTTCTGATGGATGTTGCAGTACTCCATATCTCCTGACTACTTGGCTGAGGCCTCCGCCTACCAAGCTGGTCGTGCTACCTTCTGCTCCACGAAGGCGCATTAATTCCTCCTTGAAAATATTTTCTGGGGCCTTGGGGTCGACCTGAGAAGGCAGGTAAGGCTCCTCTGGCGTAAAAGGTGAATTTTCCTTTTTAAGGCTTTCGTGGCCTTGGTTCAAGTCACGTTGTTCCTTTGAAACGTCTTCGCGCACACGAGGTTGGGGTGTACCAACAACACCAGTGCGGTTGTTTGAGTAATTTGGAGGGGAATTTTTGTCAGTTTCTTCGCATTCGACGCAGTCCTTTGTGCCGAGTGCCCCGTCATCTTTACTGTCTTGGGATGCATCACGCTGGGTCTGGCCAAAAGCGACCCAGTACACAAGGTGGCAAAAGGTGAACGCAAAGTTAGCTATGGACCTCGAAGACAGGAGAACCTGGATCTCAGCCAGTTGCGCTGGACTAAGGGGGCGATGGGTTAGCAGCTCTAAAGGCACACGCTCCCCAATTACCGACACTATGCGACCTCTCATGGTTCTGGGTGAAATCTGCTCGAAGCATTGTCATACCACAGATGATTTACCGTTTCGCATCTAAGAAAACAGCTCACTGCATCTCACACCCAGAACTGTCAAATTCGAGTAAGGTTAGGTCATGGAGAGCTGTCCTCTAGTTACCATAAGAGGCTTTGTAGTCTCCGAATAATTTTTATATGCCAGTGGCATAAGGAAATCTGCCCCTCTTAAAGCAGACCAATGAACGACCCTCCATTCACCCTGATCATCGGATCGCACGATGGCGCAACGTTGAACAGTCTTTCTGTGGTGATACTTTGCCCACTCTGCACTGCAAAACGGATTTGTCAACAGAAGGGCCCCCAGAGCTGCATGGCGTCGTACCATTGATGGCTTGCGTAGAGATTATTAATCACGGTTTACGAAACAAACGGAATTGCAAGCACTGAGAGAGCAACTTGACTATTTTGTTTTGCATTCATGTTACATACCAGCGGCAATCTTCTAAATGCTGCGTACGGAAGAATAAAGCTATTCCGAAGATCCCCGAGCATTGCTTGCTGCTCAGCAGGGCTCCACGACGCTGCACATGCAAAAATAATCGACAGCATCCATCAACGTTGATGTGAGTGCATGACCTGTTTATAGATGAACCAATAGCTGTCTGCATGCCTTACTGGAATACGATCGCGGCGAGCGGTGCCATTTTATTCGTGCTGGGACTCTCAAGGACAACAGTTCCCTGTTTGTAGCTGGGATTCTGGTGGCTCCTGCTGCTCCGATGGACGCCAAGCTTTGTAGAACTTCCTGTTGAGTCGACAACGTGTTTTTGGATCGCCTTCGTCCATTTTGATTTCCAGTCGGAAATGCACAATGCTTCTTTGCCACTGACCCTCTCTGTCTGTCCCCCGTACTGGCATTGGGCCGTTCGTTCGGAATGAGCACAGTGGCTGTGATGCACAAAAACACGGCTTCGTTGAGTACCCTCCTTTGAGCGCATGCAGGAAGACAATTCATCTGTTCAGAATACTACGCCGGTTGAGGCGTGTAACAACCTTTTTCTACAGCCAGCAAAAGTGAGATAAGTGGATAGTGGCTTGCCACTGCGAGAAAATTTCCCTGAGTTCAGATGTTTCGACAGAGCTAGCAGCATGGACGTTCGCGCTTTTGACGAGAGAGGCCTGCGCCTGCTGGCTTCCCCTGTTGCTGCCTCGATAAGTCGGTTGCCTGCTACGGAGAGAGCGGCGTATGCTGGAGCTGCTGTTTGCTCCTGAAACTCGTTATTTTCCAGGGATGGTCTTCTCCAGTGTGTACTACGCTTCTGTGCTTGTGAACTGGACTGCGAAAGTGACATATATGTGAGTTCTTCAAGCTCAGTTGGGTTCGAGCTGAACCGTTGCAGTATTCGAAACAAATTAGTTGAACGCCTGCAGCAGAGTACCGTGACACTCTCTACGTCGATGAACAACTGCATGCTTGCCAAAGCAACGATTTTGGCAGAATCAGCATACTGGCTTCTAGTTCCTTGGTTATTTTGATTGCTGCGTCAAAAATGCCAGATGCCCCAGTGTGCAAGAGTACAGGGCCTAACGACTGAGAAAATCCAAAAGACGCATACATGTATTCTATTTCCCTAGAAGCGCTCATTTCTCGCTCGCGCCTTTTTGCTTCATTATCTTCGGAATGCCTTCGTTTTGGCAGCGGCGGCAACGTAGTATCCTGCAAAGACGAGGTCGCATTTAAGTCATGTGCAGCACGCTCACTCTGTGAGCAAGTTGTGCATTTTCAATGACAGGACGTTGACGTATCAATTATGGAGGTTCAAGGCTTTGGGCGAAAAGGTGCCCAGTGGCTCAAAGGGTTCAAGCACTGTGAGCGAAAATTCCCGTGCGTGCTCACAATTGTTTCATATTCTGGTAGCGTTCCTGCATTATCCTTTTGTTCGGGGGCATCCTGACGTTTACAGTGAGGAAAGTCAACGATGACCTCTTGGGCCACCGCCTCTCTCCTGAAATATTAAACAGTAGAACAACTGTAAATTCGTCAGGACATTCAGAGGGAAAGGCACGAAACTTGCCGGAATATTTTTGCATATTTACATTGGCAAGCTCTCAGAGTGGGGGGGGAAGCATCTGGGAGGTAGTGGACTAGTATCTACAGCCCTTTTATTTATCCTTTCCATCTAAAACAGGGCCTTGCATGGTTCCTTACCCTCCCGGAGACCAAGAAACTGAGATGTTGCACTTCCATAGTTGCAAATTTTTCCTCAAAATCTCCTTGTTGTTTCTGAGTAGGAAGGAGCACGGGAAGGGTGGTGGGGGCCCATAGTAGTTGCTGTTCTAATCTACAATCTGCACATAGGCTCAGAATTGTTCTCTGAAGAGCAAACCCTCTGGGCAGCGTCAATTGTCCACTGTTACTCAACGCCGTGCTTTGCCTTCAGAAACTGAATCCGAGTTACGCGTCATGGAAGCGTTGCAGATCCAAGATCGCATTTCTCAACAACATACTATGGATTGGGAGAACGAACAAGACAGCCTAGGGCCTACCTTGTGGGGACCATCCCAAGCTTCTCCAGATACGCTTCATTTACCGCATTTATGACACTATGCAGAAGCTGCTGCTTTTCCGCTCTGCCACTGTGTGACTGCAATCAACCACGCACTAAGTCTCACAAAAGTTCCTTCTTCCCCTCCCACCCGCTGAAAATCCTCAGACCAACCAAGCACAATTCCGTGTATTCGGTAATTTGAAAGTAATCCCTTCACCCAGGCAAACAAAGAGCATGGAAATGCCTTGGCCCGGTAAACAAAGTATTGAATGCTTTAGGCTGTGGAGAATGAGTGCTGCAACTTTCCATCACTTTCTGCACATATTGTGATCACTCCCCTACCCAGTCCGAGATAGGGATATGCATGCCAAATTAGTCAGATGCTTTAAACATGAGTCGGTGCACCGCTGCCACACGAGAAGTTGCCCCCGGGTATGAGTCCAAACACCCTGGCTGTTGCGGCACTGCAGGCGTACCTCTTGTAGCTATGTCGGCTACCAGGTGCAAGGCAAAAGTTCTACTAATATGGAAACATGATTACATGCGTGATGCGAACTTTTACGGAAGAATCGTGTTGCGTGTCATCGACTCCTGTCGTGTGCAGATCGGAGCGTAATCTTATCCCAAAAAAACTTTGGGAGGATCATAATTATAGCTCACTGCTGCAGATGGGTCCCTTATCGGCACTGTAAGAGACCTAATGTCTAGGTCCTCTGGATGAAAATGTCTCCTGCACCAACTTGGCGGCCTGGAAGCCGGCGCTGACGAAGCCACCATCCTTCCACCTGCAGGGATCTCACTAAACCCAGATGCACAACCTCTTAGGCAGCATCATCCGGGATTCCTGCTGTGCTTGGAATTGCTCGACTACCACTAATCTTCGGTCTTATTATGGATAGCCTCTCCTGGCGCAGCATATAGCCCATAAGGCTCCCCATTGAATTCCTGTGCACGAAAAGAAGAGCGCCACGCCGTGCAATACCTACTACAGGTGTTGGGACGACTTCATGTCACGAAGGGAAGGATGGCATCTTTCTATGTCCCACAGAGTTACGGGGCTTGCTCTCCTCTTCTGTAGAGACTAGACGGCTAAGCAATTTTTGTACACCATATCCATCCTGTTGAATGCTAGAAAGGACAAAATATGGTTCCTGATTGAGCATGCAATATGGCGAGCTATTCTGCTGCATTTAGCTGTTGCGTGAGCACCCGAGCAGCTCCACTAAAGAGCATGTGGAGCATGCAAGGCCCATCCCGAGCTGCTGAGTCCAGGAGCCTGCTTCCAGCTTCCGTTTGCTTGGCTGTTTTAGATTCTTAAACGCCTACATTTTCGACAAACTACGCTTGACAAAGCTATAAAAGTACGGGAGTTGCTCTGCATTTCATCATAGATGCACCGGCCTTCAGCGAATGCGAGGGCTTGATCAAAGTCATCATCGCGATGCATAACAGCATTTGTCTGGCACCCCGATACACCCATATTATCAGAAAAGAGCACACCACTATGGATTGGAGCCCTATCCACTGCTACCGAATGGCTCAAACCCTAACCAAAATATGATATCTAAGCAAATGCAACGATTGCATATGGAAAGTTCGTGAGTAGAGTGCAACGTGCAGGAAATGGAAACCTACGAAGTGCCCCTGAGAGTATTCAAATGAATTACCGAGCTTAGTTCGCGCATATAGTGGAAGAATACAATTATTCGTCTTGCCCATGCAGAGTGCATGCCGTGTTGAGCGTGCGCAGGTGTTGGCCACTTTCAGGCCGTCATGGGAGGATGCAACACTGTCACCGGCAACGGAAGCCCTTGGAACTCCTTAAGGTTTTGGTTTTCAAGCTGCACTAGTGTAGCAATTCATTGAGCTAGCAGTTGCCTTCGTGACAATTCCGATATAGAATAGAAGGTAAGCCTCCACTCTACCCGTTGATGATGTGTTGAAGGTTGCTTGTTTAAATCCTAAAAGGTAATCGTTGTCCTTGAAGCCCTACGATGACTCTGATTTACATAGGATATTTCAGCAGCTGCTTGTCCAACTTTTCATCGTAACAAACTAGCTCAAGACAACGGCGCATCAATGCACCATGTCGAACCGATCTATAATATCTCGTGAAAAAGATACGTTCCCGACTCGGCAACTCTTATGGGTGTGAAGAAGGTTCGCAACAAGCATCAGAGTAGCTAAGGAAGCAATCCGAAGATACGTTCTGGCATCATTGTCAGCTTTTTGGGACTATTTTCGAAGTGAAAAAGTGCCTGTGCTCCGTGAAACGCTCGGTGCATTCAACAAAAAAGTTCTGCAACTGTTTAGTTACAGCAGTCTGTAGGGAAGTGGACGTTCTCCTCCATATTAGCATTTTCTGCTTAGAAGATTGTTACACTCGATTCTAGATAACAATAATTTACAAACAGTTGGTGACAGGAGAACAAGCGCCAACGTTGAGCCCGTCCCAACAGTGTCTCTG